ATACATTGCATAAATAACTCTTAGAATTATGGGAATTTAGTAGTTACCTCAGTCTCATCATCATACATTGCATAAATAGCACTGTTATGGCATAATTCATCTTCACATACTGGCAGCAAATGATCAACTTTCCCACTGGCATCTGGGAAAACAATGGATATAAGAATTAGGTGAATGTACTGGAAATCAAAATGATGTTAACATACTGTACAGTTTTTGATCAACAATTTTGAAAAAAAAAAAAATTTTTATAAAAGTATGCAGGTTCATTTTGTGAAAGGGTACAAAAGTTGACTTTAGCACTCAAAGGGATTGGGTTGGCTTAGTCTTTTTCACGAAACGATACGATACGAAACGAAACGAAACGCAACCCTAACCCTAACCTTTAATTTTGAATGACTTCAAACATCGCCATGTCACAGAAATAAATTTGTCCAGAATATTTAGTTTCCACCTCATTCCCGCCTACTTTACAGCTCGATTCATTTGTGCTGACAGGACATGACAGCCATTTTGGAATTGTTGAACATCGATGGCGCTATTCATGTTGTGTTTCATAGTGTGTAATTTGCTCAGATACTATTAGGCCAATGAAAAAAAAAAATGCGAGTTAGGGTTAGGGTTTCGTTTCGTTTCGTAGAAATGACTAAGCAGTTTGGGTAAAATGTGCTAAATGCAGATGTACACGGGTCCTGCTTAACAAACACTCAAATGACTACTAACTTCGGAAGCCAACAAGCGAAACAAACATTTGAACCAACATTTTGTCTGCATTTAGATGAACAAAGCAGAGGGTGTCTTGTCTATGTGTTGAAGTTTGAATTAACCATTCCAAGTGTTTCTAATATGTCTCGAGATAACTGAGAGCATAGTTGTTGTTTTTTCTGATAAATTTTTGTTTATGAAAAAAATTCGGCAAAAAAAAATAGAAAATTTTTTTAAAAGCATATTATAGCATACATGATATTGTAAAACACTATTTTACTGAACACTTTTAAAAAAAAAATTATTATATAAAACAAAACTCACCAATGTCAGTGTATACCGACTGTCCAACATGTGCAAAGTTACCCGATGGCAAATCAATATATGTCCCATCCCATTGCAGCTTATCATTCGTTTTTATCCATTGTTCAAATTTAGTAACACCTGAGTCGACTGAAGTGACAAGAAGATCTGCCCCGAGATCTCCAGACAAATCAACAAATATATGCGAGTGAGGTTTTCGTAGAGGGAGCAGTGTTTCCTGGGCAGTTTCAGTTTCATCTGAGAATGGTTTGGGTACAATATTCCTGTTGTGCTTTGAGCTGTAGATATAGAAAATGTTAAAATAAAAATATTGACAGAAATCCTGGTTTTCAACAAACAAAACTGATATGTACAAGTTTTTATGGAAGTAAAGCAAATTATAGCTGTGTTGATAAGAAGTGACATGAAAACACAAATATGCAGAGACAAGGTCACGTCCATAATACAGTCAAACCTGTGTTAGTGACCACTTCTATAAAAAGACCACCTGCCTATAGTAACCACTTTTAGGCAGTCCCAAGGCAAACGTATAAGCAACCTGTGTATAAAGACCACCTGCATTTATGTGAGCATCCCTTCAGCATTACTTTTGCAGATTGGGCTTTGTTTAGAGACCAAAATAATAATTAGCAATCCATTTATAAAACAATTTTTAATTTCCTCAAACTTTTTTAATTTTGATTTTGATCAACTCTAATATTTTTTTTCTAGTTGCAACAGTATCATTTTATCATTTTATGATTTTTTTGGACAAATATTATGTCAAATGTATGAGTTCATGATCCATTAAAAAACAGTCAAATTATTATAAAAAGCATTTTAATAAAGTCCTTTGGGTAGTCGCTGTACACAGTTTTACTATACATTCTAATGCAACGTAAACTCTTTTCAACATGACCTCAAAGTTCCATCACACTTTGTATGATCTACAAAATATTTCTCACAGACTCCTGACCTCTTACCCCTGTAATCATTCTCATTGTGTGATCTGTAGAAAACTTCACTGAGCCTTGTAAGCATCATAAAGTCTTTTAGTTTTTTTCAAATTTAGAAAACCCTCCTAACATAATAAGGTAAAGTGCCCCTGAGTGATTAGAACAATGCAAAGTATGTTTATTTAATGATGTGACAACTTTCAGTGCAGGCCTGCTTATATCCAATATTTCTGGATTTGTTGCCATAGAAACCAAATTTATCATTTTTCATGGTGTGAACAGTAATTAGTGAGAGGTGTTTTGCATATAATACAAAGTCTAGTGTGCAATCAACACTATTGTTTTTAATTTCTTCACTCGATCATTAAACATAAATTTAATATTATGATAATACGGTAAGTGTAATTTGTCTTATATTTATTGACAGATATGAAAACAACAAAATTATGTAAGGGACTAACAATCAGACACTCAGGAAGATGGTAGGAAAACAGTGGATAATAAATTGTTTTCTTCACTGAGCATTGAGCTAGAATTTTTTTTAATTTTTCTTTGCACAGAATATTTATCCACAGTATGGTCAATCCCTAACTGCAAAAGATACAAAAGAAAAAACAAATAAAGTAATATATACTTGGGATCGGCGGACCAGAAAAATCTGTCACCATTTGAATCAGCGCCAAAAATATCAGGAACCATGTCAGCATTGTAACTGTAAAAACAATACATGATATTAATAACTCATATCCATACATACATACATACCAGCAATAAAACCAGCTATATGCAAAGATGATCATAAAAACAAGAATTATTTTTGGGAGTGTTTTATTTTATATAAATAGATTTTAGAAATATCATCAAAAAGAAAATAAATTGTTTTCTTATAGTTAACCATCCAAAGTTTATGCCATAATTTTGACAGGGGCGTGGGGTTTTATAGGCTGTGTATATGTGTGATTGGCAAGAATTGTTTTTTTTAAAATCATAGATAAAAATATTGGTGTTGTTCACTGCTGTTGTTAAATATGCATGTATACGTCTCTGTTTAATAAAACGACTTGTGTGCAATGTTGTCACTGCAGATCGCTAGTCAGTGCTGGTTATTGAACAGCATTTGTTATCAGAATTTCACATGCAGGAACTATAGGTTATATATATAGACTTTTTTCTGGTACTGGAATCTAGAGTCCTGTCCAAACTGAATCTTATGTATAAATCCAAACCCTGTGTATGCAATTCAATACATGTAAAAACCACTACTTACTCCATTACTAGAGGCTGATCAAACATATCAACAGAAACCGTTGTATTTTTCAAATCTGGAAATTATATAAATATATATTGGTCATAAGGTTGTCTTTTTTATAATGGTAAATTGATCAAACTGAATGAGACATCAACTGTAAGTGTTGACACATGCACCAGTTGCCTGGTAAACTGGATCTACCAACTAACAGATTTTTTAAGACACTGTTTCAGAATTATAAGACATTTCCATTTGGCAGACCTCACTTATTACTACTATCTGGCCATACTATTTTGGCATACTATAAAATACTTTATTAATAGCTGGAGTTAATTTTCGCTGAAAAGTCAATGTGTTTAATTTGAGGATAGTTGACACACACTAACAAATTATAAAATTACCAAATGCAAGTTGTTTTGTAATCCCCCAGTATATGTGACTGGAGGTAGGTGCTGTGTCATCCTTGGCTTTGGTCAATGGTTTTGTTAGCACCAATAGGTCCATCCTTGAGTCACCGTCATAATCTCCTGGGACCACACTGGTTATCACTTCATTTCTTAG